GGGCTGAATTTGGGGGGGGGGGGGTGGTGATAGGGTTTTGGGGTGTGCAGTTTCCCTTTCAACAATAACATGAGAGCAAATTTGGGCCATATGGGGGGTTGAATGTCACAGTAAAATGGATTATGAAAGAAATTGTAACACATGCAAAAATTTACGACCGCGTTTCTTGTATAAGCCTCAGAAACATAAGACAGAAACTAATTTCATTTATTTGTTTATTGCGGGGGGGGGGTTACGTGCAATGCTGTCGGAATTATACACCGGATGTCCCTGGTTTTCGAGCCACAAAACTGAATATCCAGTAAAAAGGCTCGCTATCAGATGCACACCACAGCTAGTTTCATCCGTTATATCACATCGCGCATCCCATTAGATTCTACCATGTTGCAGGCTGTAACGTATCCGGTGGTATCAGTTTCTATCCGAGTTTACACTGCTGCGTTTCATTGTGTAATGCATGGTATCAGATCGCGTGGCATCATATCAGGTCGTGACCAAGTGGTGCGAAACAGATAACGGCAATAAGAAAAACAAACCCGTATTATCGCCTGCAGACAATGCGCGTCCGACAATGTGGAGTATTTCTGAGCCATTAATGTGGGAGGGTGCGACCAGAGGTACGAACACGTCACAAGTACAAAGCGTTCTTCCTTTTGTGGAGCGTCAATGGTGCATTTCCAAGCGGATAAGTAAGGGTGTCAAATAAAAGTTTGGCTTAAACTTATTCGGAGCTAAGGAGAAAAAAAAAAAAAAGCTTGTGGAATCTGGAAGGGATTTTATTCTGGGAGCATGCTGAGGCTAAACGTGTAACCCAATATCACGTGTGCGAGAGCTCCCCAAATTAAGAAAGAGCACTGTGAAATTAGATTAAATATTTATGTGGCCTAGTTTGGAACATGTCTCTCATTTCTTGACTGCTTGAGGTTCCTCTCCGAGAGGCCCCTCTCTTGTCCTCGGGGGTCTACGGATGCAGTGAACGAAAAATGAAAAGACACTGGAAAAAAAAATAAAAAATCACCAACAACTTTGCATACAAAGGGCGGTCAACATTGCTGCAATCTGGCGTTGACAATGGCACAATTAAGCCCGGGGGGGCTTACGGGACAGCGTCAAAAGAGTCAATAGCATGTTGCGGCATGAACAATCCGAACCTTAAGTGGAGTGTGAGCCCAAATCTGCTTGTGGTGGAAGGGATTTGGCCTCCCGCGGAATGTTTACATTCTGCTGACACAAAGGAGGATGAAGAGAACAAGATAGCGCACAAGAGGCAGAATTAATGTTTTGGGGGGGGGTTGGCCATGCATTTTAACAAGACTTTTTTCTTTTAAATGATTGTAGATACACGGCAGCATAAAGCAATGAAAACACAAAGCTCATCCACCTGCTACCGTTCATTCAACAGTACGACAGTCTCGGGTTGGACTAAACAGGCCCAGCCTCCGCTCTAATTTGTGACTAAACTGGGAAAAAAAACATCAAAATTTCATGAAATGAACATTTGATGACATTTCTGTTCATTTGTGTGATTTTTTTCCCATTGCAAAATGTTTGCATTGGCGCATGAGAAAAGTTGCCTTCTGAGCACACTACAAACGGCCCCTCAGTGTGATGTAGTGAAGTACTCAGGTTGCAAATCCCGCAGCATGATGGATTAAAAAGAACCTCGAAAAAAGTGCCAGAGCTTGGCACGGTTTAAGAGTAAAGCTTTCAATGGAAGCCAGCCGTCATCGTGGTGCTCTGTGAGGGAGGAAAACAAAGCTCAGCGGAACTGTAATGAGGTCGCCTATCAGTAAGGGCATCGGGCGGGCGCGCCCGACTTCCTCTCAGCATCCATCGAGCCGCCCATCCATCCATCTGTCAGGGAGAGAACAAATGACCTCGTCATGTCTGCCAGCCATGTCGCGTGACATTAAACCTCATGACGGGTTTCGAGTTGACTCCAAGAGCAGATTGGGCAAAATTTTCAGCAGGTTTGAGTTATTTCACCGATCCAAAGTGAGTTGCAGACACAATCTGATCATTTCTGGGGGGAAAAAAAAACAAACTGATTCAAATCCAATGACTTTGTTTGATGGGGAAAATCAAATAGTTTAGTAATTGCTCACAACGCATACTTGTGTGTAAGAGAACAAACAGATTCAAATCCAATGACTTTGTTTGATGCGGAAAATCAAATAGTTTCGTAATTGCTCACAACGCATACTTGTGTGTAAGAGAAGTTCAGGAGAAAATCGCACTTGGATAATTAAGAGGCTTTAAACTGGTGGGAACACAACAACAGTTCCCCCCTCGCCCCTCCAACCGCATGAAAAGGTTCCTGTTAATGGAGTTGGAAGCATTTAAGATCAAGCAAAGCCTCGATGCATGGCCAAAGGAAAATCGGATGCAGCTGAATATGCGCAAAAGCCGAAGACTGCACGCACCATCAACTGGTTAAAATCGACCTCGCACGCAGACAAGTTCACCGCCAATTACATCTGGAGATATCGTTGAGGAAACCTTGCCCCGATGACGGCTGACTGCTGAGAAGCGGTTCACCGGCATGTCAGGCTGTGGTCGCTTGCAGAACTACGCGAGGAATTTAAGAAATTAAAAAAACAACAACACACACACACAACACAAAACTGTCATATAGGGAGTGTCAGAAAAGTGCCAGGACTGGTGTTTCAACGCGCAGAGTCCATGCTAACATGCTACGGTCCTCGGATGCAAGTCATCTTTCACCTCAAGTAGGTTAAGCCGCAGCACACCAAACACACTTTGCGGCTTATTCAACTAATCAACACTAATCTGCTTCCAAGTAACGCGCAGAAGGATCTGTCGGCTCGGCACGTCACATGAACGTGCAGGGTTTGAAAACATGCGGGCACACAAGACCCCGTTAGAACCTGAAGACGTGTACTGCGCGTGGCACGCGTTCACAAGTCCTGTAGTCTCATAGGAAAATGCGCCCGGCCGCTCTGCCGTAGCTATGCCGTCTATATTATTCCAGAGGGCCGTTGGGGAGAAGGTTTACAGTCTGGAATGTGCACTATTTCCCCGCAGGAAGCCGAGCATGGAAGTCGAGCATCGGCCCACGCCCAGATCTCTCCATCACGCTTAAATTGACCTCGCGACTGAATCACTTGCAAAAACAAAAACTTTCTCTTTCCGCCTCTGATGGCATCTTGCGTTAGAAATAATGAAAACAGGGCGTCATCTTTGTGAATTTTATTCAAGACACTTTTACGAGCGATATAAAAATACTGTAAAGGCACTTTACACAGAAATACACTGAAGCTGGCTTCGCCGTGACGTTTAACCTCCTCAAGCAGCATGTCAAAAACGTTTTTACACAGGTGTAGACACAAAGTCCCAGCGGGCGTTTCCACCAGCGGCACACATTCACTTCGGATACAACGTAGAGAGATGGACTGTACATACATGTCTGATGCCGTCTACACTTTATAAACAATCGTCTTATCTCGCCAGATAAGATGAAGCTTTCATTCAGTGGTTCAGAGTATTATTTTCGATACAAAAACAAATAATAATCATTTAAAAATAGCACGAAAACCTGCTTCAACGTGTAAAAAGCCAATCCGACAATTAATCCGGGAGCGAGCAGAAACTCATCGTGACTGGAGAAAGTTTCACGAGGTGCTTTACAATGTGCCAAAGAAAGTTCTTCCGCAATGTTACTGTTTTGTGAAGTTGTGCTTTGGTACCTGTTCGAAGCAGGGCCCGTCTGGCGAGCGGCTGTTTCGACGCCCGCGTAAAATACAGTAAGTTGTCACAGGATTTGTCGGCGATGCGAATCGTCACTTGAGTTAGCGACCGTTTAGTAGGCGGCGCGTGCATGTGACGCTTGTTTTCCACGGTGCTACGTCTCCGCGAGCAGGTGTTCCGTCTCTGGCTCGACAGAGAGGCACATTGGCGGGCTGTAAACGCAAAAAAAAAAAAAGACATATAGACGCCGTATGGAGACAGGGAAGCATGCCCACCCTAACTCGCACGCATTCTGTCTCTCTCATTCACACACACACACACACACACACATAGAAAAAAAAAAAAAAAGACATATAGACGCCGTATGGAGACAGGGAAGCATGCCCACCCTAACTCGCACGCATTCTGTCTCTCTCATTCACACACACACACACACACACACACACGTCTGGTACATGTAACAGACAGTCATTTCATGAAATGGCTCAGTGGGGGACTCGTCCTAGCCAGCAGAACGAGGCCGCCATCTCACTCACATGTGCCTCTCCTCCCCGCACACACTTTCCGCCGACTGCAACTCACGCGCACCTTTGACACAACATTACAAGCGACGACGACGACGACGACGACGACGCGAAATGCTTACGAAGCTTTCCAAAAAGCTTCACTTCAGGTCATTCAAGTGGTAACTGCCGTTAATGAGTTGAACTAAAATAGTGCTAGAAATCAAAACATTCCTTTACAGTTTGTATATTGACGACACATTTAAAAAAAAAAAAAAAAAAGAAAGAAAAAAGGTAATGCAACATCCTTCCTGAACTCAAGGAATTTGTTTTCAAATTTGAATCGGCCACACGGTGAGTGAGTGAGTGAGTGAGTGGCAGGATAATTGCCCGCACGCTGGATGCAGCTGTTTTTCCTCACCCGTGCTCGTGGAACAGCCTTGACAGAGGGAGGAGGCCCACGACTTGATGTCTTTCAGAAAGAAGGAGGCCGAGCCGTCCTCTCTCTGGCAACATGGAATTTGGTTGTGGGACCCGGCAAGCACGCGCATGTTTCCGTTAAGAAAGGACATCACGCTTGTTTTGGGTTTTTTTTTTTTCCCCCCTCCCGCAGCCTTTTCTCATCTCAGGGAAATCTTCCGCGATGTCTTCAATGTCTGCTTTCTCCGCACTGTTGGAGTTCATTCAGTCCCAGTTTGTGGGGCCGGTGTCTGTCGTAGTGATTTAGAAATGGCCAGTTTGCAGCGCGTGCTATGCCATGATAAGGTGATTACTCCTCTCTCTGATGTCCACCGGAGGGACGAGATCTTTCTTCACGGGAGTCAAAGATAAGGCGGAACGTCTCCCTTTGCCCTTGAACAAATCCGATACAAAGAACACCTGGGGAGCAAAAGAACAAAGCACATGATTTTGCTTTCATCTTTATCGTGCATCCACACAGTTGTTCAGGAATTAGCTTTAGCCGCGCGTCCTAAATGAACCGTTTGCATGACGGAATTACGACGATCACCACCAATGTCCATCTTATGCTTCATGTTTCAAGAGGGATGAAATTCAAGTCAAATATACAGTCAATGATGTTACGAAAAGCAACTTTGCAGTTCACGGGCAATTTGTCCATTTTTCTCTCCTGAAGTTCTGCCCCCGACCCGCGCAAAGTGCATATTGGCTTTCGAAGACATTGCAAAAAAATCAGATATGTATTCGATGTAGAACCAAATTTGAAAACAAAAAAAAATTGGAATTGAGCCGTTCAGACTGTCATGAGAAAAAAAAAAATCGGCGACACGTCACATACGGGCAATCCATCCGCCCATGTTCGTTGATTTTCACTAATCGCAGACTGCTCCGATCCCTAACCCCAGAGAATAGCCCCGCTATTCCACGGTACTGCTAAATGTTTTAGCTCGACGCGACCGCCTTGTCGGCGGGCTACTCACAATGCAGTAGGCCACCAGGGCACCCTGGATGAAACCAGCCAGGACGTCAGTGGGGTGATGCTTGTGATCGGAGACACGGGACAGGCCGGTGTAGAAGGACATCATGATGAGGGTGAACTGGGTCAGTGGGCGGAGCAGCCGGGCTCCGTGCCAGGTGAAACGAGACTGCAGGTAAAACTGGTGAAAGGACACAATTGAAGACTCATTTGTTTTGAACGTTTGACGCGGTTTTAAAGAACATGCTACGCGCTCGAAAAAAAACCCGAGGAGTTGTTTGGCGGGACGCCAGGCCACGGTGGGATGACGACTGCCTATTTAAGATCAATTTAGAGGTTTGCGAACACAGAAATGCAACTCACCACGAGATAAAGCATGGTGTACATGGAAAAGGAAGCGTGTCCGGAGAAGAACGACTTCCTGAGGAGAAAAACGATCAGTCAAAATGGCGACTGCGGCACCTCGGAGCGACGCCCGTGTGTGATTCTCGGTGATGGCGACGATACCTGGCCTCCTGGACTCTGCTCTCGGGGCCCTGACACTGGTAGTCGGTGATGTAGCCCAAGGAGCAGTTGATAGTGGTAAAGTCGGGCTTGCACACGTCAAGGAAATGGGGGCGCAGGCGGCCCACCGACACTTTGGCGATGTCGGTGAAAGACTGGCTGATGGCGCAGCCAAAGACAAACACGCCCACCTGCTTGTACAGGGCGGAAATGTAGGGATTGCCCACAAACGACTTGGAGCCCTCGTTGAGGAAGTAGATCCTGTAGCTTTCCCCGATGACGATCTGATGGCACACGTCAACATTTCTTATTATTTTGTGGCCATCGAGCATCGAAATCTCATCGCTGACCTCCTTCGTACCTCGTCAAACTGAATCGATGCACTCGGAACGTCACTTCTTTTTCTAGTAGTATTATGAGTTGTTGTTTTTTTTTTACTTTTGATATCGTATGCTAACACGTCGTGGCAGTTTGTGAGCAAATGTAGAAACGATTCTTTGACTTTCAGTGCGACGGGATGGAATTGTAACAGAAAAAAGGAACCACTTTTAGGATTCCTCTAAAAGGTAAAACTGTCCCAGATTAAGACTATGTTCTATCTTGGAGTTCCACTGTCATTGTCCGGCTATGATAACATGTAGAATGCAAAAGGGGAAACTTTCTACGTGGATGCGTTATTAAATCGAGCAATTTTAAACATGAGAAAACAGGTTGACAACAGGGGGATGGGGGGGCATACCTCTAACATTTGAACGGATGTAAATAAACCCGTGTCTCGGACTGACGATGGACTCGGCGGTGCGTGGGGGGGGGGGGGGGGCTGCTGTTCTGTTCACGCTCACTCATACTCCTCAAACCCGACGGACGGCGTTGTCCTTCAGTCACACGAGTGAAAAGTTCAAGGAGACTCGGTGCGATGTTGTGGACGTGGGATTAGAGGTACAAACGATAGCGACGGAAGACTGTGAAAAGTGGAGTGAGCGGGGGGGGGGGGGGAAAAAAAAAAAAAAGGGGGGAAAGCTAAATAAACAAATGGGAGTAAGGAAGGAAGTCGAAGGAGGAATGAGCGGTGGAGTGGGAGGGAAAGATGCGAGGGGGCGGGAGAGCCACCGCTGCTTCTAATCATCAGAAATGCTGAGCTCGGCAACGGCTCGGATTTTGGAAGGGGAGACTCCGGCAGGCGCACATCGGGGGCCACCGATTGTTTTTCACGTCTCTCTCTCGTCGAGTAGAGAGCTCTGGTTTCACGAGGCATATTGGAGTGTTTTTGTGTTAGCATCGAGGTTTCGTCCCACATTCTTGACGAGGGCGCAGAAATAAGCCTCACTCTGGGAAACACTTTGCCGAGGGAAAGCCCTTCGAGAGAATCGATATTTCCACCATTCAAGCCTTTAGGGCCGGGCGATGGGAAACGAGCGACGGGTCGACCGTTTAGGTTAAGAATGAACGCGCCGCTGAAACCGCGAAGACAATCGCCGGGGCGAGGTGCTCATTTCGGTCTTATCTAAAAGGTCCTGAACTTCTCAAACAAAAACGGTGGTGTTTTGGTTGTTTTTTTTTTTTCTTTTCCTTCGAAAAATGACACGCATACATTTATGAAGGATGTGGCCTCTTGCCATCTCAAGTGAATACGACAACTGACTTCCTGGCTTGGCTAACACAAAGGAAGGTCAGAGCACATTCAAATGTTTGATAAAAAAAGTTACACGATGTTCGGGGGGGGGGGGGGAATCAGCGATCGGCTCGTTCGCACGCTCGATTGGGGTGTTTGCCGCAATTCCAGGCCGACGATTACTGGAGTCAACTGAACAACGATTGCATCAACCATAATTACATATGCACTGAACTGCCTCTCACTCTGCGGTTGTAGTCTAAGTAGTCTAATCTGCCACCAGCCACCTACTGTGTGTTTAAAAATGAGGGGATCGCTCAAAATCGGGGCAAAACACAAATGCACTGGGAAGACGGCGCATTCCGTTTCAAATGGAATAGCAGAGGGGGGAAAAAAGATCAGACTTGCTTTTTACAGAAAGTGAAGAGAAGTGAATATTAGGCGGGCCTTGGTCAACCCCGCGCGAGTTGCACCGTTGATGAAGCAGTTATCAAAAACGGTGGACTTCCGCTGAGGATTTGTTCAGTGAGTCACTGAGTGTGAGGCACACTTGAAATGTTGAAGCATTTTGTAGTTTAGAAAGTAGACATTTGAGTTTGTAAAGACAATTATAAACCCTGTTTTGTTTTTGTGAACAGCCGAATCTCGTGCGCAGCTAATCTTGTACATCTGCATCCCACCCTTAGATTTGGATTTTGGGCTATTTTGCTGCCACTTCTCCTCCCATGTGAAAAAGCCACTTGACAAAAAGAGGTAGAATCAAACTTTTCCCTCTGGGGAAAGAAGAGTCTATTCTTTCTTTTAGTAGATCCCGTCGTGTACATGGAGTCATAGATTTTGATTTTGTTTGGGTTTTGAAAAAAATGCTGGAAGATTGCTCCACAGAGTTGGCTGCTCTGACCGTGACCGGCAGCGATGAGTTAATATTGTGCAGCATCAGATCATGTGATCAACGTTGCCCACTCGGCTTCCACTGCAGCCCGGTCATCTTGGAAGGGGGATTCCTTCATCTGTGGCTTCTTCCCTGTTTTTTTTTTCCCCTACAGAGGGCTTTTTCTGAGTTTTTGCTTTTTCATGGGTGGCAGTGTAATAATTTCAAGCGCGCCTGTTCAACGCGATTTGGGAACGCCATTTAAATCGACACTGTAAATAAAAGCTGAAAAGATGCTGAGGATTGTCATGTTACTCAAAAATAACACAAATTTATTGCGATCTCCATGCGGTACCGGACCATATTTCCAGCTGCTAGCTTTTCTCCCGACCTCAAACGTGCTGCGACTGTTGCCTACCGCGTCGCGTTTCCCACGACAGTTTTTTCAGATCAAAGCATTTCAACATCAAGACAAACAACTTCAAACACAGAAATGCAATAAAAACAAAAACAATTGTCAGTAGGTGCTGCTAGTAGCAGTGAGGGTGGCCGAGAGATGACGGTGATAATGGCATTAGTGAGTGAGGGGGGGTGGGGGGGGGGGACTTACAGAGAGGATGGTGATAAGAATGCCAGCGGCGCTAAGCACACCATCGCTAATGGTGTCTCCATTTTTGGCCGGGTACTTGATGGCCTCATCATCGCAGTAAAACCCTCGGCGGTAAGGCTGAACAGCGCTGGTCTCAATGACCAAGAAAGGCAGGCCGGCTATTGTGAAGATGCGGTGAGCGGAAACATGGAGAAAGCAGGGTGGGGGCGGGGTGGGGGTCAAAGGGGATCGGTGAAAGGGAGGTGGGGGGGGAGAAAGAGAGAGATGGAGGAGCTGGGTTAATGATATGCACATTCGAGAGGTCATAGGTGCAAGCAGGAGGCACCGAAAGAACAGCATCTGGACTAACTCAATCCATTTTGTGGCCAATCTACAAATCTCTGTTCGGATGAATTAGGAATGTTGCTTTTGAGCGGGAGCCTGGACTTTTATTTTTCTTCTCATTGTTGTTGTTTTTGATTATAAAACAGCGGCAGTCGATTTGGATATTGCAGAGGTCCCGGGTTCGATTCCGACCCCGAGCTCCCTTTTTGGAGTTTGCATGTTCTCCCCGGGCTTGTGTGGGGTTTTCCTCCCATGTTCCAAAATGTGCACGGCAGTCTAATGGAGCCCTCGAAACTGTCCCGCGGTGTGATGGTGCACGCAAATGGTTGTTGGTCTCTGTGTGCCTTGCGATTGGCTGACAACCGGTTCAGGGTGTGTCCCCCCCGCCTACTGCCCGAAGACAGCTGCGATACTCTCATGGAAGTGCTGATTTACATACTTTAAAAGACTGAAACCGTTTGCATGATGTGGATTGGACATATTCAGGAAAATGACATCCCACTGAAATGCATGTTGTCAATTAGTTGAGACCTCGACATTTCTCATGACAAGCCAGTGAGTATCTTAAGGGTGGCCTTTTGCTTCTTCTTTGGTTTATTTGTGTTCGTACTAGGGATATACGTTAAAAAAAAAAAATATGTTTACACTTCATTGACTAATGATGGCAGGAACATTAAATGGAAATGAAAACAAATTCGGGGACTCCATTGAAAAGGACCCGGGGAAGCGGATCGTGTCGGTGTCAGTAAGATCACCGGCGTACGTTTGATCAACTGTGACTTAGTGATGAGGCGAGACGAGCCAACTTTTGAACTGAGCGCGTCCCGATGCGTGTTCTCCCGCCACCCCCTTGCCGCACCACAACACAACTTACTGAGACCACAGGCACAGTGACCCCCACCGCCATGAGCACCGTGTTGGACACTGTGCTGCTCTTATAGTGAAGACTGATGCCGTTGTCATTGCAGAAGAATCCTCTCTGGTAAGGCGGCAAGGGTGATTTGTGCAAAAACACAGCGACAAGCATCACTGCGTAGTTGGACAAAACGACACAGTGGACAGCTGCATCAGTACATCGTTAAAATACGGACTCGCAGGAACAGAACGGTGCAGAGGAGCGTTATAAAGAACACAGGGAGGGGGGAAAAAAAATGATGTATGGTAAGTAGATCCCATTTTCAACATTTATCATGTCGGACAAAGGAAATCCCGACATCAATCATGGTGCGGCTGAGCTCAGGCTGACGTGAAAATACAAAAAAAAAGAAAGAAAGAGAGAGAGAAAACCTCCTGCTGCTCAATGACCAGAGAAATACACCTCTTCACTCTACCGCAGATACTTTCAAAAGCTCCTGAAAACGTCCACTTTAAGGACGCCCGTGGAGTGTCTGCTTCATTTGGTGTCTTTTGCGAGCTTAAGTGGCCAAGCGATATCTCAATTATCGGGTGACAACAAACAGAGCACTTGGGAATTGGACGGCGATTTATCTCCCCCTCCTCCTTCAAGTTAGCGAAAGGCAGCAGTGGACCGATTTTGAAACCCGAGGGAGGACTTTTCCCCGAGAGGGCTTCTCGTGGCGCAGACGAAATTTGGAAAACACTTTTCAAATGGCTTCAAAGCGGTCTTCAAGTCGACGCTGACGCTTTCAAGTCACTTTTATGAATAATTCATTGTGCTCCACACATCCTCGCTCCGTCTGCATCTGAGAAGGTTAAAAGCACTCAGGTGGAGAGGTCAGCTTCGCTCGTGGCTAAAGTGGGGAGGCGGGGTGGGCACGATTCTGTCAAACCCAACCCAGCTTCTTCCCTGTTTTTTTTTTCCCCTACAGAGGGCTTTTTCTGAGTTTTTGCTTTTTCATGGGTGGCAGTGTAATAATTTCAAGCGCGCCTGTTCAACGCGATTTGGGAACGCCATTTAAATCGACACTGTAAATAAAAGCTGAAAAGATGCTGAGGATTGTCATGTTACTCAAAAATAACACAAATTTATTGCGATCTCCATGCGGTACCGGACCATATTTCCAGCTGCTAGCTTTTCTCCCGACCTCAAACGTGCTGCGACTGTTGCCTACCGCGTCGCGTTTCCCACGACAGTTTTTTCAGATCAAAGCATTTCAACATCAAGACAAACAACTTCAAACACAGAAATGCAATAAAAACAAAAACAATTGTCAGTAGGTGCTGCTAGTAGCAGTGAGGGTGGCCGAGAGATGACGGTGATAATGGCATTAGTGAGTGAGGGGGGGTGGGGGGGGGACTTACAGAGAGGATGGTGATAAGAATGCCAGCGGCGCTAAGCACACCATCGCTAATGGTGTCTCCATTTTTGGCCGGGTACTTGATGGCCTCATCATCGCAGTAAAACCCTCGGCGGTAAGGCTGAACAGCGCTGGTCTCAATGACCAAGAAAGGCAGGCCGGCTATTGTGAAGATGCGGTGAGCGGAAACATGGAGAAAGCAGGGTGGGGGCGGGGTGGGGGTCAAAGGGGATCGGTGAAAGGGAGGTGGGGGGGGGGGAAGAGAGAGATGGAGGAGCTGGGTTAATGATATGCACATTCGAGAGGTCATAGGTGCAAGCAGGAGGCACCGAAAGAACAGCATCTGGACTAACTCAATCCATTTTGTGGCCAATCTACAAATCTCTGTTCGGATGAATTAGGAATGTTGCTTTTGAGCGGGAGCCTGGACTTTTATTTTTCTTCTCATTGTTGTTGTTTTTGATTATAAAACAGCGGCAGTCGATTTGGATATTGCAGAGGTCCCGGGTTCGATTCCGACCCCGAGCTCCCTTTTTGGAGTTTGCATGTTCTCCCCGGGCTTGTGTGGGGTTTTCCTCCCATGTTCCAAAATGTGCACGGCAGTCTAATGGAGCCCTCGAAACTGTCCCGCGGTGTGATGGTGCACGCAAATGGTTGTTGGTCTCTGTGTGCCTTGCGATTGGCTGACAACCGGTTCAGGGTGTGTCCCCCCCGCCTACTGCCCGAAGACAGCTGCGATACTCTCATGGAAGTGCTGATTTACATACTTTAAAAGACTGAAACCGTTTGCATGATGTGGATTGGACATATTCAGGAAAATGACATCCCACTGAAATGCATGTTGTCAATTAGTTGAGACCTCGACATTTCTCATGACAAGCCAGTGAGTATCTTAAGGGTGGCCTTTTGCTTCTTCTTTGGTTTATTTGTGTTCGTACTAGGGATATACGTTAAAAAAAAAAAATATGTTTACACTTCATTGACTAATGATGGCAGGAACATTAAATGGAAATGAAAACAAATTCGGGGACTCCATTGAAAAGGACCCGGGGAAGCGGATCGTGTCGGTGTCAGTAAGATCACCGGCGTACGTTTGATCAACTGTGACTTAGTGATGAGGCGAGACGAGCCAACTTTTGAACTGAGCGCGTCCCGATGCGTGTTCTCCCGCCACCCCCTTGCCGCACCACAACACAACTTACTGAGACCACAGGCACAGTGACCCCCACCGCCATGAGCACCGTGTTGGACACTGTGCTGCTCTTATAGTGAAGACTGATGCCGTTGTCATTGCAGAAGAATCCTCTCTGGTAAGGCGGCAAGGGTGATTTGTGCAAAAACACAGCGACAAGCATCACTGCGTAGTTGGACAAAACGACACAGTGGACAGCTGCATCAGTACATCGTTAAAATACGGACTCGCAGGAACAGAACGGTGCAGAGGAGCGTTATAAAGAACACAGGGAGGGGGGAAAAAAAATGATGTATGGTAAGTAGATCCCATTTTCAACATTTATCATGTCGGACAAAGGAAATCCCGACATCAATCATGGTGCGGCTGAGCTCAGGCTGACGTGAAAATACAAAAAAAAAGAAAGAAAGAGAGAGAGAAAACCTCCTGCTGCTCAATGACCAGAGAAATACACCTCTTCACTCTACCGCAGATACTTTCAAAAGCTCCTGAAAACGTCCACTTTAAGGACGCCCGTGGAGTGTCTGCTTCATTTGGTGTCTTTTGCGAGCTTAAGTGGCCAAGCGATATCTCAATTATCGGGTGACAACAAACAGAGCACTTGGGAATTGGACGGCGATTTATCTCCCCCTCCTCCTTCAAGTTAGCGAAAGGCAGCAGTGGACCGATTTTGAAACCCGAGGGAGGACTTTTCCCCGAGAGGGCTTCTCGTGGCGCAGACGAAATTTGGAAAACACTTTTCAAATGGCTTCAAAGCGGTCTTCAAGTCGACGCTGACGCTTTCAAGTCACTTTTATGAATAATTCATTGTGCTCCACACATCCTCGCTCCGTCTGCATCTGAGAAGGTTAAAAGCACTCAGGTGGAGAGGTCAGCTTCGCTCGTGGCTAAAGTGGGGAGGCGGGGTGGGCACGATTCTGTCAAACCCAACCCAAATATACAATTGAGTTTCGGAGCCCCGTAACTCTCAACCCCCCCCCCCCCACACACGCACAGCCGACCGGTCTTTGAGTGTCCAGCTGGCTTGCGTATTGTGTTACAGAACGGGCTGATGATGGGAACCGCACAGCACTGGCCTTCCCTTCACATTCAGCACGATTTATATGATTAACGGTTTTGTTTGCGTTCACATTCCTCAAACAAATTCGGCAAGAACCTTCAACCATCCTCGACCGAGTCAACTTGCGCTTTGGAACAACAGGAACTGTACAAATATACACGCGTACTCAACCCTCAGATGTTTCATCCCATCGCAACCAAATATTATCTGTTTTCGCGACCGCTTGGCCAATATGCTGGGGAGAGGTACAGCTCGATACAAGACACGGGAAGCCCGAAACACAAACTTAAGGTACTGTCACAGAGGAGTCCAATAGCTGGATGATGTCATGGGCTGTTGCCGAAAGCTTTTAAACGATGCAAAAAAAGGGGTCAGGCGCTCGAAACCCAATCACACCAAGACCGTGTCAGCCCCTGTTTTCCAGACACTCATCTGGGGATTTTTCTCAACCCTGCAAACGCTCCATCCGTCTCAACAGTGCAACATCAGCAGTGAATGCAGCAACTTGGGATTCCCCCCCGCATCCCCCTCCTTCCCACTCCTAAGAGCCAAGGGTGAGAGGGTTTCTAGGTGGTGGGCTGTCCTCGTCCTGCCAGGAACAACAAGAGTCAGCGAGCAGGTTTTTTTGCATTAGCGCAGACAAGCCAAATAAACCCACGTTGTCTGGTCTACTCTTAACATCAAGTGTCATTTCAACTATTTTCTTCCCAACATGAATTTGATGGAAGTACATAAAATGAGGGAGAATGTTCTCGTCAAAATCTGGACAGTGTTTCTCACACTTTCCTGTTTGTCCCGTGCCTTGCACGTACATATTTTGCAGGATTCGCCAAAATACCAAGAGGTGTAACTATTAAAATAAACAGACACACATTTTCCATGCTAAGGGATTCCTCACTGTCTGGAGCAGAAATGTGTACATGTCTGAGGCAGTTGTGGTACACACACACACACACACACACACACACACACACACACACACACACACACACACACACACACGAAATTTTTACTCTGTGTGGCCCACACAACCTGCTCCCTGTCTGTCCAACACTGCAACTTACGTAGCTCCCAGTTCCTCTGTGCCACAGGAAAAGCCTGATTTATTTGCATTCAATTGGCACTGAGTATAGTCTTTCTTTATTGAGATGAGAAAAAAAAATTTCAAACACATTTTCTAACTCTTAATGCCAAACGCCGCAGCTTGAGCAACTCAATCCTATCATTCCAATGTAAGAAAAAACGCCTTTGATGGATGCTGCAAGCGTGGGACCAAACTGAAGACGCGAAATGATCTCACATCATCTTTCCCCATTGACAAGAATGGAAATGCCATTAATCCGTTCCAGAATTTTTTTCGAACATATGTTTTGACTCACATATTCAAACAAGAAAAATAGGGATGTTGCCGCTGAGCACCGAATCCGATCGATGCATCTATAGGCAAACCGATCACCCTCTGTATATAAATGTTCTGGAAGGGGAGTGGCATATTTTTCCCCACGTGTTTCTCTATGATAAAAAATTACATTTATCATCTTAAGAAAATACGTATAGACAGATTACCGCCTCGACATTCCATTCATTTTTACCAGTCATGCACGACGCATTGTCATCGACGTTGAAGAATTGACGTGGACGTCAGCATTTTAATATGTCAATGCCGGCAGAAGGCTAAGCATTAGCATTTCGCTAAGTTTTGCAAGAAATTAGCATGAATGACCCCCGCCCCCACCCATCTTAAAACATGGGTCTTAAAGTCAAATGATCAATTTGGTATTCAAAATATTTGCGAGTTTTAAGATTTAGCGGAACTTTGCTTTGGCTTATAAATGACACATTTCCAAAAAGTTATCGTGTAAGGGAAACTCCAATGTAATTAAAAAAGAACATCTCCACTGATGGCCAGTGTGCATAAGTGGGTGATCTCCTCTCGGTGCAGTGATCCTTGAACTCCAATCAGAGTGTGAGATTTGAAGGAGTGGTGATTACTAGTTCTGGCCCACTATTTCCTCCCTGTGGTTGCGGCCCTTTAAACCACATGTCTCGCCAGAAAAAAAAACAAAAAAAAAAACGGCTGGTTTGTTGACAAGCCTCTCTCTGGGGAGGTATGCTCACTGCACAAATCATGGGGATTTACGCTCCCCGGAGACAGACCAAGATTGTTTGTGCTGCAAATCTATCACGATATCGTTTTAACCAGAGCTGCACGGTGGTTTTCCCAAGCAGGCTCATCGCCAGTTTTATCCTCTTGTCGAATATGTTGCACCCCGGACT